TTAGTGAACTGCAGTTCTCCTGCCTTTCCCTCTTTGCTGTTTCCATGCAGAGCTCTGTTTGTGCTTATGGTTTTGGTCTTGCTTGTGGCTTTTGCCATTCTCTGTCAGCACCTTCGTTCCAAGCTGTTTTCTTCCACTTTACTTTCCAGTTTTGTGAGTGACGCTTGTTTCTGCTCATGTGCAGACGTTTTCTGCTTGCAGTGGATCACGGCAGAGTGCGATGGTTGCTGTATTTAGAGAACATCCAAGTAAGTTGTCAATAATATAAACGTGGAATGTTGACACATCTGCCCATGGCCTTGCGCTGGAATTTGTGTCTTCATGTCAACATGGTGCTAATTCTGTCATTCCTTGTTAAAACTTTGCATTTGTTATAGTTGTGAAAATGGGGCAGAAAACAGGGATTCAGGGCACCTTTTTACATCACACCTTCTTTCGTGTCTGATATTTGCTCAATTTTCCAGATTGCTGATCTTCAGTCCACATTTATTGGGAGGTCTTCCAGTGTGGTCTACGGCCATAGAAATGGAAAACGTTGCAATGGAAGTGAGCAGGGAGAACCAATTTCCTGATAGATGTGGCTTGTGCCGTATCGTTTCCCACAAGCCAGTTAATCTTGTGACCGCTGTGTTCTCTTTTGGCAGGGATTTTTTTTTTCCTACTCACCAGCACTTCCAGCTGAACCAGAGTTGACTCAGGCAACAGAAAAGTCTTTCTTCTCCCTGCCAGCCTGAGCTCTGTTGAGGACAGCAGGTGAAAATTAAAAAACAACTTGTTTTGGTGCTGGTGGTTACCTCCCCTTGCATGAAGAAAGTCACATTTTTGGACAGGCTTTGTGGTCAGGGCAGGCAGTTAAACTAGCATTCTTGTTTGAGAGTCAGTACCCAAACTGCCACTGGAAAGGAGAATGGTTAAGGAACGTGGCTCAGGCTGGGCTGGGAGTTAAAAAGTGAGGGCAAGGCAAGGATCTGTGAAATTCCCTGGTGTCCTTATCCTTCTCTGGGCCTGCAGCTCCTCCTCTCTCCTCCCACTGGGTTGTTTTCTTTAGGGGGCAGCAGTGGTTCAGCCTGGCCTTGGCTTCGCTCACTCAGGAAGTTGCCAATTCGTGACAGCAGCAACCGCAGCATCTGCCCCATGCGGGAAGCCCTGGAGTGGGCAGTAACCTCTGCAGTGCCAGAGCCAGGGGCACAAAGGCAGAGGAACCTCCTGGAAGCCCCAGCCAGGGTTTGAGCAGAAACAGAGCAACAGGAGGGGGTGGATTTGCTGTCTGCACGGTGGGAGCAGCCTCTTGCTTTCCAGGCTGAGGAGGTTGCTGACCAAGAGGTTCTCAGATCAGAGCCTTTTATCTAGTTCCCTGGCCTCGCACGCGGCAGGAAAGGCTCCTTCTTCCATTGCACTCGACCTGCTACTGAGACACAGCACATCAGTTGCTGTAGATGAGAACAGTCTCTGTTTCCATATGCACAGAAATGATCTGAGACTCTGGCAAAAAGTCTGCAGTTTAGGGATGTGGAGTAACAGGAGCCTCTGCCCACAAGGGGTTATCGATAATGCAAATATCTGGGCTTGTGTTTTCTGCAAGAGGGTTGCAAATGGACTGGAAGTGTGAATGTATAGGCATGGTTTAGCTGATGAGTGTGGGAACCTGGGCTGTGAATGTTAATGTACATCACAAGTGAAGAAAATTGCCAGACTTGCCAGACTTGCAGTCAGAAATCTCAACTGCCTCTGAAGAGTTAATGGGTTTCAGATATAGGCCTGACTTTTGTCTCCTTTCCTTTACTTTTAGGAAGAGCTGCTAGAGCTGCCCATGGTGAGGCAGAACAGCCTTCTGCAGAGCCAGGCTCCTCGCGTAGCTCAGCCCTCATACGAGGCCTTGGAAACAGAAGGTCAAAACTCAGCTCAGTTTTCTGTGTTTGGGCCTCTTTATTTGGGAACCTGCACCCAATTTTGGAGTGTTTTGAGGCTTTATGTTCTGGTTTCTTTTGCCTATGCTGCCCTAAGCTTATGCATATTTAGCTCTTTGTCATGAGTATTCTTTTGCTGGGATAGCTGTTGTTAAGCTTTTGCTTACAAATCACAGTCCAGGGAGGAAACCTTGTTTTCTAAGTTCTTTTGAGACTTAAGCTTAAAGTAAAACCAGATGAGGAGACAAAGATCAAAAAAACACTGAAGGCAAGAGAATAAATTCAGTTTCAGGCAGACAGCTGGATGAGTGTCAAACAAAGGAAGGAACAGCTGGATCAAGTAAAGCACAAGCAAAATTAGTTCCATCCCCAGAGGAGGAGAAAGATTGTTTCTGGAGCCTGGAGCTGAGCGGGACTAACTTAACCCAATGAAACTCCTACATCAAAGTCGGGGCAGAGCAGAAGTTCCCAGAGGGAGGGGACGGGGCCAGTGTTTGGAGTAATTGTGCGGAGGGAGAGGAAGGAGGAGGAGTGTGAGGAGGGGGCGGAGGGCAGCGAGGGGAGGTGGGGAGCTGGAGGTGGAGTAATTCAGCAGAATATGAGCTGCTGTCACAGCTCTCGGGCTGTAAATTGATGAGATCATAGTGTTTTCAAGTTACTTTTTTTTGGTATTTGACTTGTTTTTCGAGAGAGGCAGAAACACGGAGAAGCTGAAGAAATGGAGCAACTAGCAAAACTCCTCCTGTGGCAGCTCTTGCTCCAGCAAAGTAAGCTCCTAGCTGGTTGTCACCCTGGGATTTGTCTTTTTCACCTGCAGAGGACTGGGATGGAAGTTATCTGGGAGGCTTTGAACCGTCATCTTTGTAATGATTTATTCAGATTCCCAAATTACCTGGGATTTGGACTGCGGGTAGAGGAAATGTTGGATTTCTTCTGGCTTTTGGGGAGGGAAGGAGAGGAAAGAGGAATGTTTGGGAACTCCACTCAGCATGTTTGTGCTTTATTTTTATTATCTATCCTTTACCTTGCTCAGCAGATTCAAAAACAATGGGAATTGAGCAGGAGTGCAGTAAGGCTTGGGTAGGGTTAGATTTATGTGATTCTGCTTTTGAGAAACAGACAATTGGATGACTGAGGGTGTTCAGGGGGGAGGAAAACGTGAGGTTTCTGTGCTGGCAGCATGAAGACAGGAGTTGTTGTGAAGGAGAGGTGCAGGGAAGGGCTGGGTTTACCGCAGCAGAGTGGCCCAGATGCCCTTTATTGCAGCTTTCTGTGAGGGCTAAGAGCAGATCCTGCGTCCTGAGAGGCTGAGCCCGAGCTGGACGGAGATACCCCAGTGAGGGAGCGGATGAAGGGAGGAAGATTGAGGACACGGCGTAGATGTGCAGCAAGGCAGCCCTGCTGGAGGCACCTGTGATCAGGGAGCGATTCCAGCTCGGAGCTGTGCGGGAAGCCTGGCAGGTGCTGACGGGAGCAAGGAAAGAGGGAAATTCTGGGGGTGACCCCCCTGCTCTCCACAGCCCTGGTGAGGAGAGGCTGCAGCAGCCAGCTAAGCCTCCCAGATGTCCCTCAGTGCCTAGATGGAGCGAACCTGGATCTTCTCACTCTGCTCCCTGATGAATCTCGTCTCTCATTTCCCATTTTTGCAGTGCCTGGAGGCAGGGTTAACAATAGGGTAACCTGTGGGATCAGTCATGGGGGTAGAAGGCAGCTCGGGAAGCGAGTGTGTGTTGTGGGGTTGTGCTTGGAGAAGGAAGCGAGGCCGTGGATTGGAGCTCGGAGGCCCCAACCAGCCCAACCGCTCTGGGCTGCAGCAGGACCAACAGGTTGGGTCGCTGTGGAGCAGCGGGAGAGCTCGGCACGGGCACCAGCTTCCCACCTGGGAATGGAGCATCCCTGCCAGACGTTTCTGGGAGTCTTGCAGAGATGCCCGTCCAGATGCCAGCCATGATATCGGACCCAAATTGGCCTGGGACATCTAGGCCCTTTAATATTCACCCAGATGGTCCCCTCTGAAGAACCACCCCACCCTCAAGTGTTAATCTCTTGCAGGGAGGAACTGCTCTGTGTTTGGAATGGCAGCGCAAACTATTCCACGGGCCCGAGGCCAACACAAAGTACATGAGGCAGAGAAGTGTTTACGAAGCCGAGCTAATATCTGAGCTGTCTGTGAGAGAGTCGGGGTGAGTCCATGAGGGATCCTGGCTGCGCAGAGGCCGAAATGGCGCTGGGTTTCTTGCGCAGACGGAAGGTTTCT